AGAGAACAATGAGACAAACCAAAAGATGAATTGGAGCATGACCCTATGACAAACAGGAAGTCGGCCATATTGGATCAAACATTCGCCGCCGTTTTGACTTGGGGGTCTACAAAAAGATTCAAGTCCCCGAGGTTTGGTCCAAATGAGCTCAAATTTGACATGTCACATCTACAGACATGAACTCACAGAAGTTCCCAAATTTTTTTGGGATACTCCTTACGGTTCGCCCGTAGCACGCCGGCGAATAACGCCTTCATTTCCTGTTTTTTCGGTGACCTGTCACGGCCACAGGCATTGGCCTAGAGAACTCAAATTCAAATCACAATTGCGTGATCCAGGCCTGAATGTGATGAAATATGAAATTTAATAAAAGTGAACTCTATAGCGCCCCCTAGCATAGACGTGAAACGTCAACATTATCGGATTAGTACCAAATTTGGGACATAAATTCTATGTATGATTACAAGCAAAAAAGTCTATTACGAACATGGTGCATTTTCCACTATTGGCCAGCAGGGGCGCAAAGACTCCCCCAAAAAATAGTAAAAAAATAATTACACACACAGGCTTAGTCCGATTGCGCTGAAATTTGAATCACTAATGCCTGATCATGGCCTGAATATAATACACTATAAAACAGATGAAAAATGAACTCTATAGCGCCCCCTAGCATTGACAAACATCAACATTATCGGATTAGTACCAAATTAGAGGATTAAATTCTAGACATGATTACAAGCAAAAAAGTCTATTACGGACATGATGCATTTTCCACCACTGGCCAGCAGGGGCGCAAAGACTCCCCCCAAAAATAGTTACAAAATGATTACATGTCCATGTTTAATCGGATCGTGCTGAAATTTGAATCACTAATGTGTGATCTCAGCCTGAATATAAAACAGTATAAAACATATTAAAAGTGAACACTATAGCGCCCCCTACCATTGACATGAAATGTCAACATTATCAGATTAGCACCAAATTTGGGGATTAAATGCTACGCATGATTACAAGCAAAAAAGTCAATCATTGTGCACCCCTATGACGAACAGGAAGTCAGCCATATTGGATAAAACATTCGCCGCCGTTTTGACTTGGGGGTCTACAAAAAGATTCAAGTCCCCGGGGTTTGGTCCAAATGGGCTCAGATTTGACATGTCACATCTACAGACATGAACTCACAGAAGTTGCCAAATTTTTTTGGGATACTCCTTACAGGGGCGCAAAGACTCCCCCAAAAAATAGTTAAAAAATTATTACACCCACAGGCTTAGTCCGATCGTGCTGAAATTTGAATCACTAATGCCTGATTTCGACCTGATTATAATACACTATAAAACATATGAACTGTGAACTCTATAGCGCCCCCTAGCATAGACATGAAACGTCAACATTATCAGATTTGGACCAAATTCGGAAATTAAATTCTATGCATGATGACAAGCAAAAAAGTCTATTACGGACATGATGCATTTTTCACGGTTTGCCAGTAGGGGCGCAAAGAATCCCCCAAAAAATATTTTTAAAATTATTACAGGGACATGCTTAGTTCAATTGTGCTGAAATTTGAATCACTAATGCGGGATATTGGTCTGAATATAATTAACTATAAAACATATGAAAAGTGAACAGTATAGCGCCCCCTACCTTAGACATGAAATGTCAACATTATCAAACTTGGACCAAAGTCGGGGGTTAAAGGTTGTATAGAGGATTTTCCAAGGAACGAGAAATCCAGCGACTGTTTGTCCTTTTTCAAATGTTGCGCATGCGTGAAACCACCCCCCCCTCCCCTACAGCTCCCTACGTAGAAACGCCTCCTCCCGCCTCCTCTTTACGCCAGAAACAGGTTTGTTTACAGCCGGTGCGCTGCACATGACTTGTAAACAACTAACTACAGTGTTGGTTAGGCAAGGCGGAGAAGTGAGGAGCGGGGGGAGGGGGTGTGCGGACATTTCGTTCGCGGACGAGAAGTGAGGAGCAGGGAGAAGAGCGGAGCAGGGAGAGGAGAGAGGAGAGGGGAGAGGGAGCGGTGCGCGGAGATTCCGTGCCCGGAGAAGTGAGGAGCAGGGGGAAGAGCGGATCGGGCAGCGGGGAGAGGAGCAGGAAAGGGGTGCAGAGAAGAGTGCGCGGAGATTCCGTGCGAATGAACTAGCTACAACACGCAGCAGCAAGCGGACTCTTTCTTTGCCTTGAAAATTACGTTTTCAGACATAGGATATCGCTTTCGTGTCCTGAAAAACGTTTGTCTAGCTCTTGGAAATAAAGTACGTTTTCATAATAAGCAGAAGTGACCTGTCCAGGAGTAATTTGGCGACCAATGCGTCAGTCTTTAGACCCTGCGTCTGCTTCAGTCGCGCCATCGCTGGAATGAATCTTCAAGAATCACCTTAGTTTGGCTTCGCTGCTTTTCCCCTTGTCTTCTTCTTTCAGCGACCTCAAAAACGGACTTTCTTTTGTGGCTAACTGCTCCTGGATTCTTGTCGCCATTGCAACAAACTTTGTGCTAACTGCGAGGAAGATATAGGTCAAAAAAAGCTGCTAAGAACTGTTGCGTTGGTGGAGTAAACAGCGTCTGTGCGGCTTGCGTCTGTGGACTGCGTGACAGGCGTACGTAAACCACGTACCGGCGGCGCGCAGGCAAGTCAGTTACGCTAGAAACGTAGGGAGATTGATTGACAGCCTGTCAGCTAACAGATAACGAGGCAGTGTCGTTATCTATTGGCAAATGTTTAGCCCCACCACGTCCAGAGTTGATGAATTTTTATTCTCTTTTTTTTGGTCATCATAATTACAAGGCTACTGCACCTCTATAATGCTATCATTGACAACTTGAAACTAAAAAAAAAATCCTCCATACAACCTTTAAATTCTATGCATGATTATAAGCAAAAATGTCTATTACAGTCATGATGTATTTTTCACGGTTGGCCAGCAGGGGCACAGAGAATCCTCCAAAAAATATTGTAAAAATTATTATATGCACATGTTTTGTCCGATTGTGATGACATTTCTATCAGTTATACACTGCATGACCCTTATTCCATTGATATGTCAAATACAGTTATCAGGGATACAGCGCCACCTATATGAATGCACACAATTTATTATTGTGTGACATAAAATTAGTTTTACATTCATTTGTAAAACTTTGCCAAAACATTCACTGACGTAGTCCTCATCATAAAAGTCAGTAAGACCTATGCCCTAGTTTTACACTTTGGCCTCTAGAATAATTTCACTTCTGAGAAATTTAAAGGCACACTATGTAACTTTTCTGGTGGAGGATGTGTTTTCATGCACTTAGTCTTAGTGTGACAGTGCTCTTGACCATTAAAGTCACGTGACCTGTTTAGTGTCTACAGTTTGTCTCTAGAATCATTCACTTTATCCAATTTTAAAGGTACACTATGTCATTTTTCTGGTGGATGACCTGTTGGCCTCGGGAGCTGTCGGGAAGAGAGAGCGGTGTGTCGGGGCGGTCGCGAGTCCCCGGCGTTCGCCAGGGGGGGCGGTGCGTGCCCGGGGCGAGGGCCACCATCGCCGCGCGCGGCTTTAATTGAACTTATTGTTCTTTTTGGGGTTTATATGACATGAGTTTTCTGATCCGGCCCCTTTGGGATCAAAGTCGGTTGGATAAGGCCCCCAGACCAAAATGAGTTTGACACCCCTGGTCTAGTGTATTCCGATTCGTGACCTAGCCACTGGAGAGAAATGAAATTGAGAAGAGGCACTAGGTGGCGCCAGCCTGGCTAATATGCCAGTAAATTATTAAAAAATGTAAAATATGAAATAAGTTTGTAAACACAACCATTAGATTATATTTAGGGTTGCATTGATTCAGCTACCAGTGAAGAGACTGAAAATAAAATGTATTTACTTTAAACACAAACCTGTATGTACAAAAATACCCATGTGTTTTGTAGCTGTTATTTATCATTTAAAGAACAAATATTATGAGGGTCAACAAAGCCAGTCCAGTAAATCATCTTATTACACCAATTTATTGACGAAAATTATAACAAATGATATCTTGGAACCGATATCTGATCCATCAAAATGTTCAGTATTGGTGCAGATATCTGATACCAGTATCATATCAGTGCATCTCTTGTTATATTAACTTAAAGTCCTTTGTGAACAGAATGCTATTCCCAGAAAGCAAACACTGTATTTAACCAAGCTATTAGTCTCCAGTTGCTGTACATTATGTTTTATGGTTAGTCCTAATAACCCATTCATGATACATAATGCCATACAGACAATGTAATGCATAGATATCAAACCGTCATACCTTATTTGAAGTCATCATTGCGTTTGTCCATAAAGGGTTTTTATGGCTGTATTGATTTTGTCTAAAGCTATGCAGCCACTGCGTCAGTGACCAACAGTCTCCAAGCCCACTCCAGGAACACAGCATCTACTTGCCTGTTTTTATCACTTCTCACCTTCAACAGCTGTGCGTTTATGTGATGAGGCTCAGTAGTTCAGTCTTTTCAACCTCTCCCAAAAGAATAATTGAATATATCTTTCTAATAGAATCAACTAAACCATCCTATTTCTAGACTTCTCCTCATGGTCAAAAAGAAAAAGAAAATCATTCTAAATGCAAAAGACTTGTGTGTAGCATCACTAAAGTAAGCCTATAATACGCACCATTTGTGTTGCCCACCCCACAGTTTGAGAAACACTAGACTTGATGAAACAGTGAAAGCCTGTTCACAGTCACCACCTCCTCATACCACTCAGGAGCAAAGCAATACATTTACAACAACTAGCCCTTACAGCCATATTGATTTAACCATGACCGCCCATCTCTCTGTATGTTGCATGTCCTGTATGTTGTGTGTTATAAATTGCCTTTACTTTGCAATTTCTCCAGTTCATTCCGATGGGCGTATAAGCTGACATTTATTGTGATTAGATTGTATAGAGTTATAGTGTCCATTGGTGTTGCAGCATCTCCGAACATAGCAAACACACATAGCTGGTGTTATTACCTTCTGTGCGTATGGTGAACGGGGAGTCCCCCAGTCTCTTGGCTGAGAACTGCCCCCCCAGAGAGGTCATTAGGAAGCACAGGCTGAAGAATCCGATCCCCACCACGAATATCCTGCAACGGACACACAAACAAGTGATTTAAACGCTGCTTCAGAGCCACAGACATATTGATGGCCGGGGAGAGTAAATAGCTGCTTTTACTCAAGAAAAATACAGATGGGGAAGATGAGATGGCAGGGACTGGATGTGTTTAATTTGGGGAAAAAATGTGCAGCTCATTCTGTCTTTATTTACATTGCCCAATCCGTTATTTTTTGACTCAAGTAAGACATCGCATTGCACTTATGTAATGTATTGTTTTCATAGTATAGAATGTCAGTACTATACTACTATAAAAACAAACAAAAATCAAAACAGGCATCTTTAAAAAAAACTGAAGATAAGAACTAAGAAAAAAAGTGATTGTGTTTTTGTTAGAGGAGTTAGTTTATGTAACAACCTGAGTGATGATTTTAAAAAGTCCAACACTACAGAAGTCATTAAAAGAAAAGAATATAAAGCGTTATGTTTTGAAAGACATAGAGCTCTGGAATTATGTATTAAATTTTGTTCATTTGAATTTATCTTGTCTCTTATATGTACAGTGAGTGATAAGTGAAGTTGTAAATCCAAACTTGTTCATGTGCTGCTTTCTTTCTTGGAATTCTGTTATTGTTTAATAGGGTTTGGGACTTTTGCTTCAGCTTGGACCCTTTCCGTCATGATCCATGTAGTTGTGGTCGATGTTTTGTTTTGTCGTGCTGCAAAATGACACAATTTTCAGTACTATAAAGTAACATTGCTTTTTCCCATCTGGGTCACAGACTGTAAAGAAGTAATTAAGTAATGGGGCAGTCATTTGGAATGGGGCAGAGTGCCATATTTGGAATTCTGGTACCTGCTTTATTTCTTATTAATGTTCTTGATTTATGGACAAAATAGCAAAATAAAAACACCAGCTTCACATAGAGCAGATTAACATTTTAGGACCAAAATGAGGAATCTGACAGCAGCAGTCACATCGAGGGGGGTGACGTCTTTTCAATAAAAAGTGAATTGGAACCAGAGTCGATGAAGCCAAAGCAGTCTATAGAGTCTATGACCTGCCTATAATATCTACATACAGATATGGGACAAGATCTCGTAAGGCAAAATTGCCACAAGACTGTACACATGTGAGAAAAATTATCTCGCAAGATTTTTTTTCCCATGAATTTACCATTGGCTTGGACAACAAAAGAGTTAAGAGCTGGTGCAAAAGCAGTAGTGTGATGACCGCTTAAGTATTACATAAAATAAAAATTTTAAAAATTGTGAAGTGAAAATTGTGATTAGACTACGTATTTATAACAGATTATGTCAAAATCTCGTCTTCTCTCGTTCTCGTGAGCCTAATCTCATCTCGTCTTGTGAAAATTGTGTCTCATTCCACCCCTAACTAGTGTTGAGAGTAACAAATTACTGTATTATATTACATTGCTTTTTGTTGTAACACAGTAACGTAAGGCATTACAGGGAAAAAATAATAATATTTTACTCGGTACAAATGTCAGTAACGTGCGATACAATGCTTTTTTAACCTGGATTGAAGTGGTGGGTTTAAAATTTTTCTTAATACAAATTCTCTAAAATCACCACAATATCAGCAGTGGTGAAACACCATCGTTACGGTTCTGAATGTCGGAACGGGCCCAGAGGTGCACCTGCGTAGACCGTCGGGTGACCGCAGGAGAAAGGACCGGTGCAGAACTCCCTGCTCCACGGGCTCAAGGTTCTCTCAGGGGAGATCCTAGATTCCAAGTCCTAGTCCAAGATAAATCCTGGTTTAGTTCTGGTTTAGTGCTGGTTTAGTCCTGGTTTAGACCGGGTTTAGATTTGGTTTAGTCCTGGTTTAGACCTGGTTTAGTCCAAGTTTAGACCTGGTTTAGTCCTAGTTCAGGCCAGGTTTAGACCCAGTTTCGTCCTGGTTCAGCTCTGGTTCAGTTCTGGTTTAGACCTGGTTTAGATCTGGTTCAGTTCTGTCAGTTCTGGTTCAGTCCTCCTGGTTCAGTCCTCCTGGTTCAGTCTATATTCGGAGCAAAAGTTCTGCATCTTCTCTCTCTGATTGTTAGTTGACAATCAGCAACAGTCATTTTGGTGAGACTAACTTGAAAGTGCTGCAATAGTCGTGTAATATTGTAATCTAACAAAGTACTTTGAAATGACAGTAACAATAAATAAGTAATAAATAACGTATTACAGTTTTGAAGTAACTTGCCCAACAGTTCCCCTAATACAGATCATAGTAGTAATCATAAAAAAGAATGAATTAGTCTTACATAGCTTTTCATTTTTACAATATCGTGCATTATTCATTCTGTAGCTGATATTATATGGTCACAACTACAGACTGACAGAAGAGTGGCTGCCAATCTGCACCATTGACCACTCCAATCACCACTAATCACACACTCACTCACACACTACCTTCATACACAGGCAAGGTGAGTATAGCGTCTCGCAAACGCCACAACAACGGTATGCATTAGAGCCACTACAGCCTCCACCTGGTCTGAGATGAAGGCGCTTTGAGACATTTGGTGCGGAATAAAGCCAAACTTGCTGTAACGCGAAGAGCACAATGCATGAAAAACCAAAGAAAGACATAGGTGGACCATTATGGCAGACAGCTCAGACAGTCGGAGTGACGGACAGGCAGAGGTAAAGGGTAAAGAATAAAGGTGGATAGAGAGAAAGGAGATAGAAAGAGAGAGAGCGTTAAAAGCTGGAGAAGACAGTGTGGAGACAGTGAAGGAACAGCAGGCTGCACTCCTGAAGCAGAGCACAAATGGAGCAATCATCACGAAGAGAAGAGGCAAAGACACGAGCCAAAGGGCGAAGCACTCCACAACACTGATGTTATTGGAGGGCTCATGGGGAGTACCACTGCCAAAACCAAGGAGAACTGTACACCCCAGAGCAGTCGCTACCAACAGGATTATTCAGACATAAAAAGCACGAGGAAAAAGGAAACGCTAAAAGCCAAGAGTGAAAAGAAAAGAAGCGCTGTACATTTAACACATGAATAGGTAGCCTTCACAACACTATGGAATTTGATGCAATCATTTCAAATGGAGGGCAAAGGTTTACAGTATTTTTGTAATACGTGAAATTGACTCTTGTGAGCTTTAAGCCACGTTATAATGATGTTAGGGACCATATTATGTTATTTTCTGATCACATTTCCTCATCACAAACATACCTGGAGTTGAGTTTTGTTTTGTTTATGTAACCCTTTATCATTAGCCTGTCTTCAAGTCAACAGATATTTTTTAACTTTAGTTCAATTGAGATTTGCAATTCCGGGGCTGAAATGATCAAAATGACTTTAGTGTAGGTGTTTTGAGTTTAAAAACACAGTGGAGCACCTCCTGTATTACCACATGACATCAAAAGGTAGAACAGAGTAAAAGAGTGAAAGAAGAGCTAACTATAAATGTGTGAATGAAACAAAACACAACTCCAGGTATGTTTGTGATGAGGAAATGTGATCAGAAAATAACTAACTGAAAATAAAAACTGATTGGTATGCGTTGGTATGAGAAGAAATGTAGAAGTTTAAGAAGTCTCCTCTAAAATAAGTCATAAAAATTTAGTAGCGTGCCGATTTCCTTCATCATGTTTTTGAAAATGCATCAAAAAGCTCCAGAGGGAGAAGAGACTGTAACTCAGTGTGTCCCTGCGTTAGGGCGCCATGAGAGGAGCAGAGTTGGGACTTTGAAAAGGTTGAAATCCAGGTCTTTTGTGTGAAAGTAAATCCAGCTCTAGTTAAGCTACTCTCTTCAGTTTATATGGATCAAAGGTTATCTTATTATACACTTCTCTGATTCTGATTTGGTGGACAATACGCCCCTCGGTCTCTATCGGTAACAAGGTGGTGTATGCGCTATTTCAAAGCAAACCCGGAGAAGCCTTGAAGGATTTAGTGCAGAACAAAAGGGGAATAGAGAAGAAAAACAGTCTGGAGAGTTTCATTTTATAAGCTGAAGAAATTTATATCTGTCTCCCATCTGAAATGCTTCACGTCTTTTCAAGTGTGTGTGTGTGTGCATATACGGGGTGGGTGATGGGACAAAAGGTAACAGAAATCTAACTGTCTGCGCTTATCAGATCCTGTTAGCAACAATAAGGACACACATGAATCACAAAGCAGTCAAACGTGGCATGTTGCCTAGTGATAAATGAATAAACTAATCATTTTATTTGAAATATGTTTCATTAACATTTGTGGGTGGAGATTGAAAGTAAACAATATTATAATACTGTTTCCTCATTAAAAACATTCTTGGAGTTGTATTTTGATTTATTCACACATGTTTAACTCACAAATCGTGCATATTTCAGTCCTTACTAAGCAAGAAGGAAAAGGGTTTAAAAGCTGTTTACTTGAAAACTAGCGCCTGATGACATCATAAGGTGGAACAGAGCATTTTGAGCTCAACAGGATTACTCAAATATGTGTAAATAAAAACAGAACACAACTCCAGGTATGAGATGAGGTAATAACATTCTAAAATAGTGTTAAACAATAGGATGTTTAAGGACAATTTATTATTTAATTACTATTATTTTATTAAGTTGACCTGCTTTTTATGTGGATGGGATTTAAAACATGTGAGCTTTACTTGGACTATCTGGAGTTGTGTTTTGTTTTATTCACACAAGAGTCAATTTTGTATAATACAGGATCGTTAATAACCACTGCTTATTATCTGGACTGTGCACAGACTATAAAAAATGCCAAAAGGCAGCAGCATTAAATCAAATTAAATCAAAATGGCAAAAATATGAATTACAAATAATACACTGTTTTTTAAAATACTCTTTATCTAAGCCTTCAGTTAGCACATTATTATCATCTGGTTTAAAGTGTATCTTAAAAGCACACTCTAACGTTTCTGGTGGAGGGTCTGCCATTTTGCTTGTCTCCATAGAGATGTTATCATTTTGTCTGGAATATCCCAGTATGGCATTAAACATATCCATCTTGCATTTACTCAATAACATGGGTTTTTATTCACCTAAAAACTTGCA